TGTACCCTAGAACTTAAATTATAATAAAAAAAAGTAATTTAAAAAATAAAATTTATATGGAAAGACAAGTATAGATAACACTGAAAAATAGTAAAAGTTGGCTGGGTGCAGTGGCTCATGCCTGTAATCCCGTATTTTGGGAGGCCAAAGCAGGAGGATTGCTTGAGCCCAGGAGTTTGAGACCAGTTTGGGTAACATAGTGGGACCTTATCTCTACAAAAAATTTAAAAATTAGCCAGGCATGGTGGCACACACCTGTGGTTCCAGCTACTTGGGAGGCTGAAGCAGCAGGATCACTTGAGTCCAGGAGGTTGAGGCTACAGTGAGCCATGTTTGTGCCACTGCACTCCAGCCTGGGCAACAGAATGAAACTCTGTCTCCAAATGAATGAATGAATGAATGAATGAAGGAATGAATATGGTGGAATCACTAACCAATTTTAAGACTTATTATAAAGTTACAGTAATCAAGATAGTGTATTACTGGTAAAAGGATAGACACATAGATCAACTGAACAGAACAGAGTCCAGAAATAGACCAACACAAACATGGTCAACTGATTTTTAACAAAAGTGCAAAGGCAATTCCATGGGGAAAAGATAGTCTTTTCAACAAACTGTGCTGAAACAATTTGACATCCACATGAAAAACACAACCTCTCATATTTTATACAGAAATGAACTAAATATGGATGATTTGTTCTAAAATGTGAAGTATAGAACTATGTAATTAACAAAGAAAAGCATGCCGGGCGTGGTGGCTCATTCCTGTACTCCCAGCAATTTGGGAGACCTAGGCGGATGGATCACCTGAGGTCAGGAGTTCAAGACCAGCCTGGCCAACAAGGTGAAACCCCACCTCTACTAAAAATACAAAAGATCAGCCAGGTGTGGGGGCGCGTGCTTGTAATCCCAGCTGCTCCGGAGGCTGAGGCATGATAATTGCTTGAACCCAGGAGGTGGAGGTTGCAGTGAGCCAAGATAGTGTCACTGCACTCCAGCTTGGGTGACAGAGTGAGACTCCATCTCAAATAAATAAATAAATAAATAAATAAGGAAGAAAAACAGAAAGTAGAAGTGAGGTGATGAAGGGAACATCATTATTTGGAAAGCCTCACATTAAGACGCACACATTGTGCTGCTGCTACAGCTCTAATACCTGCCACTTTCAGAAGTCAATGTGTGGCAAATATCGTTACCCTCCCAAGCATAAAATAAAGTATAACTAGAGTGCCAAGGCTAAAAGACAAAATACCACCAGGAGTGGTATAATTAGGTAGTTAAAAATTGCATACCATGAATTCAGGCATGTACTCTGTGAAGGAATAACACTTATACCCAAAGGGGCAGTTGTAGCAGCATCCAGTTCATTTTAAGAATTTCAATGATTGGTCACGCAATAAATGTTTTGCTTTTTCTCTTTTTGAGATGAAGTTTCACTCTTGTTGCCCAGGCTGGAGTACAATGGTGCAATCTCGGTTCACTGTAACCTCCACCTCCTGGGTTCAAGCGATTCTCCTGCCTCAGCCTCCCGAGTAGCTGGGATTACAGGCATGCGCCACCATGCCCAGCTAATTTTTTGTATTTTTAGTAGAGCTGGGGCTTCACCATGTTGGCCAGGCTGGTCTCGAACTCCTGACCCACCTCAGCCTCCCAAAGTGCTGGGATTACAGGTGTGAGCCACTGCACCTGGCCAATGTTCTTCTTTTTCAAAAATATTTTTAAAAAAGAAAACAGAAGAAAATAGTCATGCCTGCAGTTGGGCAAAGAGTTCTTAGACATCACACCAAAAGCATGGCCCATAAAAGATAAACGCTAATGAAAATTGTAAAACTTTGCTCTGCAAAAGATGCTGTTAAAAGAAAAGACAACTACAGACTGGGGGAAAATATTTGCAAACCAGGTATCTGTCAAAGCACTCATATGCATTATAAAGAACTCTCAAAACACAACAGTAAGTAAATGAACAAACCAATTTAAAAAAACAGGCAAAAGACTGTTCATGAACAAACCATTTGCCAAAGAGGATATATGCATGAAGTATGCTCCGGACAAAAATGTTGGCCAGGCGCGGTGGCTCACACCTGTAATCCCAGCACTTTGGGAGGCTGAGGTGGGCAGCTTGCTTGAGCTCAGGAGTTTGAGACCAGCCTAGGCAACACAGCGAAACCCTGTCTCTACGAAAAGTACAAAAATTAGCCAGGCATGATGGTGTGCGCCTGTAGTCCCAGCTACTTGGGAGGCTGAGGCGGGAAGACTGCTCAAGCCCGGGAGGCGGAGGCTGCAGGGAGCCGAGATCATGCCACTACACACCAGCCTGGGCCATAAAGTGAGACTGTGTCTCAAAAAGAAAAAAATGTTCATCATTAGTCACTTGGGAAACATAAATTAAAACTATGACGAGCTACCACTACACACCTATTAAAACAGTTATAAAAAACACTGACAATCTGTTGTATAACATGGTGGCTACAGTTAATAACAAGGTATTATATTTTTGGAAATTACTAAAAAAGTAGATTTTAAGTGTTCTCACCACAACAAAATGAAAAGCATTTGAGGTAATATATATGTTAATTAACTTGATTTAGCCATTCTACGATGTATACATATTTCAAAACATGTTGTATGCAATAAATATATATAATTTTCATTTGTCAGTAAAAAAAAATAAATGGAAAAAAAACTGACAATACCAAATGCTGGTAAGGAATGGAACAGCTACTTTGGCAAGGTCTTATAAATTTAAACATACACTTACCACATGACCCTGAAACTCCACTTGTAGGTATTTACACCAGGGAAATAAAAACTTATGAAACTCCACTTGTAGGTATTTACACCAGGGAAATAAAAACTTATGTTCATACAAAAACCTGTACACAAATGTTTATAGCAGCTCTGTTCATAACACCATAAAGTGAAATCAATCTAAATATTCTTTAAGGGGTGAATAAACAAACTGGCATATCCATACAATGGCTATTATTCAGCAATAAAAAGGAATGAATTATTGATACAGGTAACACGCAACAACTTAGAAGAATCTCAAAGGTATTATGTTGAATTAAAGAAGCCATTCTCAAAATATCACGTACTGGGCTGGGCGTGGTAGCTCACGCCTATAATCCCAGCACTTTGGGAGGCCAAGACAGGTGGATCAACTGAAGTCAGGAGTTCAAGACCAGTCTGGCTAATATGGTGAAAACCCCTCTCTACTAAAAATATAAAAAATTATCCAGGTGTGGTGGTGGGCGCCTGCAATTCCAGCTACTCTGGAGGCTGAGGCAGGAGAATCGCTTAAGCCAGGGAGGCGGAGGTTGCAGTGAGCCGAGATCACACCATTGCACTCCAGCCTGGGCAACAAGAGCGAGGCATCGTGTCAAAAAAAAAAAAAAAAAAAAAAAAAAATCACATACTGTATGATTCATGTGATACTCTTTAGAAGACGGAACCATAGTAACAGAAGATGAACTGGTGGTTGCCAGGGGTTAAAGGTAGGTTTGGGTGTTATTACAAAGGGATAGCATGTTTTTTGGGGTAGTACAACTGTTCTGTATTCTTATTGTGATGATGGTCATATAAATCAATACATGTGTTAAAATTCACAAGTCGGCTTGACTGTATGTTAATTTTAAAAATAAATGAGAAATTCAAATTGAAAATATAAATCAAATTGTTAAAAATTAACTTATTTTCATAATTTTAAATTTTATTTTGTAGAATAAAATCCCAGTTGAGCTCTTTTTCCACTATTAACAATGAAATTTTCATTCTTGTTTTATGTAGACTCACTTTAAGTAGTCTTTTTTCTTTGTCCATTATCTTCCATTGAGCAAGAACTCCTTTATGTTAAGATACACAGATGCTCCTTGATTTATGATGGGGTTATGTCCCAATAAACCCATCACAAGTTGAAAATATAGATCGACAATCCATTTAATACACCTAGCCTACTGAACATCATAGCTTAGCCTAGCCCACCTTAAATGTGCTCAGAATACCTTACATTAGCATACAGCTGGGCAAAATCATCTAACACAAAGGCTATTTTATAATAAAGTGTTGAATATCTCATGTAATGTACTGAATACTATACTGAAAGTGAAAAACAGAATGGGTATATGGGTACTCAAAGTACAGTTTCTACTGAAAGCATATTGCTTTTGCACTACTGGAAAGCAGAAAAATGTTAAGTTGAACCAACATTAAGTGAGGGACGCATACATTTTTAAAAATTTACTTTCAAATTTTTTGGGGGGAAAGACAAAGTCTTGCTATGTTGCTCAGGCTAGTCTCAAACTCCTAAGCTCAAGTAATCTTCCTGCCTTGGCTTCCCAAAGTGCTGGTATTACAGGTGTGAGCCACCATGTGTACACTGAAACAAAAAAAAGACTAGAAGGACATATGTCAGAGTGGTAACTATAGCAAGCTGTTTATGGGTAATGAGATTTTATGTGATTTGTTTTCATTTTCTAAATTTTCTAGAATGGGCTTGTATTACTTTACTGATTTATTTTTTTTAAGATGAAGTTTCACTCTGTCACCCAGGTTGGAGTGCAGCAGCGCAATCTCGACTCACTGCAACCTCCGCCTACCGGGTTCAATCAATTCTTCTGCCTCACCACATCCAGCTAATTTTTTGTATTTCTAGTAGAGATGGGATTTCACCATGTTGGCCAGGCTGGTCTTGAACTTCTGACCTCAAGTGATCCACTCACCTTGGCCTCCCAAAATGCTGGGAGTACAGGCATGAGCCACTGTGCCCGGACTAGAATAGGCTTATATTACTTTAATCATCAGTAGAAAAAAAGGTAAAGGACACTTCAATCCAGGCTGTGTAATGTTTTTTAAAGGAAATTTTGGAGCTCTGGTTTGTAAGCATGGAGAAGACAAGCAGCTAGGAAAACTTAGGTGTCACAGAAGAGATCAGGGACCTGTTGGTGTTGCTGAAGAAGGTAAGAAAATTGAGGACTCTTAGGAAGGGGAATGCTAACTTACCTGAGACTGTTTGAAAACATCCTTCCCAACTACATCCAGGTTTGAGGGATCTTTGATGGAACTGACATACTCAGAAACAGCCTTGATCACCACGTCACAGGGAGGAAGAACCAGCTGATGAGCTCGAACCTAGAAAAGGCAAGATAAGCAAGGGACGCTGACATCAAAGATGGATCACTAAGAAAAAGGGTGAAGTTGAGGGGGGATATGGAATCCAAATTTAGTAAATCCACAGAGAGACAATTAAAATATTTTCTTTAAAAATAGTTTCACCCCTTCATTCTCAGTACAGAACATTTGGAAAACATGGAAAAGTATAAAGCAATAAAAACATATCATCTATCTTCCTACAGAGATAACTACTGTACATGACACTCACAATTAATCAGGCTTCCTTTCATGAGACATTTTGGCTTTTTTGCTATTAAATATAATATTATAATGAGTTGACAACATTTGGATTCTGATTTGAACTAATCACAAAAAGCCATTTTAAGACAATCAGGAAAATCTGAAAATGGACTGGATATTAAGATGATACCAAGAAATTAGCATTAATTTTTGTCAGGAGTAATAATGGCATTATGCTTATGTAAGAAACCACCCAAGTATTTTAGAGATGTGTACGGAAGAATGTGAAAGGGATTTGCTTTAAAAAAACATTAGCAACTACAAAAAAAACCCAGAAAATGTGGCAAAATATTGGTAACTGTTGGATCTGGAAGATGTTACAATGGTGATTTACTATATATTATTTTTCCTGTTTTTGTGATGCCTAAACTTTTTTTTCTTTTTGTTTTTTTTTTTTTTGAGACAGAATCTCACTCTGTCATCCAGGCTGAGGTGTACTGGTGCAATCTCGGTTCAATGCAACCTCTGCCTCCTGGGTTGAAGCGATTCTCCTGCCTCAGCCTCCCGAGTAGCTGGGATTACAGGCACACACCACCACTGGATTTGCTCATAAAATATTCCCACTCTGAGATTATACAAAATTTCCCTCGTGGTGCCGTCTATTATTATTATTACTATTATTTTGTTTTTGAGATGGAGTCTTGCTGTCGCCCAGGCTGAAGTGAAGTAGGGATTGTCTAGAAAACAATTATGTGCACACATGTGCAGTTCTTGAGTTCAAGTAATTCTCCTGCCTCAGCCTCCCGAGCAGCTGGGATTACAGGCACCTGCCACCATGCCCGGCTAATTTTTGTATTTTTAGTAGAGACAGGGTTTCACCATGTTGGCCAGACTGTTCTTGAACTCCTGACCTCAAGTGACCTGCCTGCCACGGCCTCCCAGAGTGCTGGGATTACAGGCATGAGCCACTGCACCTGGCCCTTAACACATTTTTAAAGAAAAAGTTTTTAATGCTTTCATAAATTATAGGTATGACGTCTTGCCCACTTTCCAATGATTTAATTACAAGCTTCCTCAAACTGTAATTACTGAGGCAGAGGGTATAAATTTCCTAAAGGTTTCTGAATTTTTATAAATTGTTTTGCCAAAAGGCTTTATTATTCATTCCTTAAATATTTACTGCCTATGTGCCAGGCACTGTCCTAGGCACCAGGGAAACAGCAGTGGACAGACAAAAATCTCTGCCCTCACGGGAGCTTAAATTCTAGTGTAGATGTGTTGGGATAGGGTGAGGGGAGTTAAACAAACTAAATAAGTAAAATGTACAGTGTAGGCTGGGCGCGGTGGCTCACGCCTGTAATCCAGGCACTTTGGGAGGCCGAGGCTGGCGGATCATCTGAGGTCCAGAGTTCGAGACCAGCCTGGCCAACATGGTGAAACCCCATCTCTACTAAAAATACAAAAATTAACCTGTTGTGTACTAGATGTAGAGTACTAGATGTAGATAAGTGCTGTGGAGAGAAGAGCAGAGAAGAAGCTAGGGAATGCAAGTATGTATGTGCATACATGTGCACATAATTGTTTTCTAGACAATCCCTACTGCAGAAGTGTGTGCATATAATTTTTTATAGGGTGATCAAGAAAAGCCTCACTGAGAACAAAATTTTAGAAAACCTTCAGGAGTGAAGAAATAGCTATGAGGGGAAAAGTATTCCAAGTGGAGAGAATGATAAGTGCAAAGGTTCTAAGAGCAAAAGAAAGAAACAAATCAGAGATATGAGAGGGGGCCAGACAGTAAAGGGCTTTGTAGGCCAGGCCATGGTAAGGATTGGGAGAGTGACATGAAGAGCTATTGGAGAATTTTTTTTTTGAGACAGAGTCTTGCTCTGCCACCCAGGAGGAAGTACAGTGGCATGATCTTGGCTCACTGCAACCTCTGCCTCCTAGGTTCAAACAATTCTCCTGCCTCAGCCTCCCGAGTAGCTAAGGTCACAGGCACGCAACACCAGGCCCAGCTAATTTTTTTTTTTTTTTTGAGACGGAGTCTTGCTGTCGCTTGGAGTACAGTGGCATGATCTCAGTTCACTGCAACTTCCACCTCCTGGGTTCAAGCGACTTTTATGCCTCAGCCTCCTGAGTAGCTGGGATTACAGATGCGCACCACCACACCCAGGTAATTTTTGCATTTTTAGTAGAGATCAGATTTCACCATGTTGGTTGGGCTGGTCTGGAACTCCTGACTTCACGATCTGCCCGCCTTGGCCTCCCAAAGTGCTAGGATTACAGGCGTGAGCCACCACGCCGGCCATTTTTTAAGTTTTTAGTAGAGATGGGGTTTCACCACGTTGGCCAGGCTGGTCTCGAACTCCAGACCTCAAGTGATCCGTCCGCCTCAGTCTCCCAAAGTGCTGGGATTACAGGTGTTAGCCACAGTGCCCTGCCAAGGATTTTGAATGGAGAAGTGACAGGATCTCATTTTTTTTTTTTTTAAAGGGTCGCTCTCCTGTTATATTGAGAATAAAATGGAGGTAAGGGGAAGAGTGTAAGTAGAAGACCAATAGTTAATAAGCTATTATAATAATCCAGGCAAGAAATAATGGTGCCTTGGTCAGGGTAGCAGCAGTGCAAATGGTAAGAAGTAGGTATATTTTGAAGGAAGAGCTGATGGTATTTGCTGACAAATGAGATGTGGGGTATGGGAGAGAGAGGGGGAAGTCAGGATGACCCCCAAGGATTTTAACCTGAGAAAACGGAAGGATGGGCTGAGTACAGTGGCTCACGCCTGTAATCCAGCACTTTGGGAGGCCAAGGTGGGCAGATCACTTGAGCTCAGGAGTTTGAGACCAGCCTGGCCAACATGATGAAACCCTGTCTATACTAAAAATACAAAAATTAGTTGGATGTGGTGGCGCCCGCCTGTAGTCCCAGCTACTCAGGAGGCTGAGGCAGGAGAATCACCTGAATTCAGGAGGTGGAGATTGCAGTGAGCTAAGATTGTGCCACTGCACTCCAGCCTGGGCAATAAAGCGAGACTCCATCTCAAAAAAAAAAAAAAAGGAAAGAAAGAAAATGGAAGGAGGAAGCTGCCTTTAACAAAAATGAGGAAGGCTGTGGGAGAAACATGTTTAGGGAGAAGATCAGGAATTTTCACTTGAACATATAACTTTGAGATGCCTATTGGATATGTAAATGAAAATACTGAATTGGCAGTTAGATATTAGAATCTGGAGTTCAAGGGAGAGGTCAGAGCTGAAGACATAAAACTTAGGAGTCATCAATAGGCCGACGGTATTTAAAATCATAAGACTATATGAGATCAATCGTATGTGGAGACAGAAAAGAGAAGGGGCCGGGCATGGTGGCTCACGGCTATAATCCCAACACTTTGGGAGGCTGAGGTGGGAAGATCGCTTGAGCACAGGAGTTTAAGACCAGCCTGGGCAACATGGTGAGATCACGTCTCTACAAAATATACAAAAAAAATTAGCCAGCCATGATGGCATGTGCCTGTAGTCCCAGCTACTCAAGAGGCTGCTGTAGGAGGACCAATTGAGTCTGGGAGTTTGAGGCTGTAGTGAGTCTTGATCGCCCCACTGCACTCCAGCCTGGGCAACAGAATGAGACCCTGTCTCAAAAACAAACAAACAAACAAACAAACAAAACAAACCAGAAAAGAAAAGAGAAGGGAACCAGGATGGAACTCTGGGCTATTCCACCTTTAACAAGTGGAAAAGACAAGGAAGCAGCAACAGAGACTGGGAAGCGGCAGTCAGTGAGGTAGGAAGGAAATAAGAAGAGAGTAGTGTCCTTAATTCCAAGTGAAAAAAGTGTTCTATGGAAGAATGGGTAAGCATCTGTGTCAAATGCTGCTGACTGGTCAAGTAAAATGAAAACCGACAGCTGGCCCTGGGTTTATTAACTGAGAAGTTATATTGGTGACCCTGTCGAGAGCAATTTCAGCAAATCAACTGAAAAGCAAACAGGGGAAGGGAACAGTAAGAAACTCACGTGTAGACAAGTCTTTAGAGGAGTTTTCTATAAGGAGAAATATAGAGCAGTAGCTTGGGTGGGGAGAGTGAGATCGAGAGGCTTTTTTAAAAAAAATAAAGTTGTATTTTTAAACTTCATAGATGCATGCTTATACAATTTGGAAAGAGCCAATGAAAAGAGGAAACTTGATGATGCAGGAGAAAAAGGGCGAGAACTGCTGAACTGATGCTCTTAAGTTGGCCAAAGGAGATGGGAGCTGTGCCCGATAGTCCCAGCTATCAGGAGGTTTAGGCAGAAGGATTGATCACTTGAGCTATGATTGTGCCACTGCACTCCAGCCTGGGCAGCATAGCAAGACCCTGTCTCTTAAAAATTTTTTTTTAAATAAATAGAGATGGGACCTAGTATAAGTAGAGGGACTGGCCTTAGATAGGAACATGGACAGGTCATGCACAATTAATAGGAGGCAGGCAGAATATGTGGCCACACAGGGGATAACACCTTCCTGTAGGTGAGGTGAAGAAGGGGGTAAGAACTCGTTGAAGTTTTCTTCCCATTGCTTCCATTTTCTCAGTAAAATAGGAAGTAAGGTCATGAACTGAGAGTGAGCAAATGAGGAGAAATATCAGAGGCTTGAAGACAGAGAAGGTATGAAACAGTCATCTAGGAGAATGAAAGAACGAGGGAAATAGAATACAGATACCTGAAGTGTATGCAGGTATCAGTCTCACAACAGTCTTTTTTTTTTTTTTTTTTTTTGAGTCAGAGTCTCATTCTGTCACCCAGGCTAGAGTGCAGTGGCGTGATGTCAGCTCGCTGCAACCTCCGCCTCCCGGGTTCAAGCGATTCTCCTGCCTCAGCCTCCCGAGTAGCTGGGACTACAGGCATGTGCCACCACACCTGGCTAATTTTTGATTACAGGCATGAGCCACCATGCCCTGGCTGCAACAGTCTTGATAATAGTGGGTAAACTAATTTTTCAATATTTGTTCAACTGTTAAGTTAAAAAAAAAAATTCACACTGGCCAAGCGCGGTGACTCATGCCTGTAATCCCAGCACTTTGGGAGGCTGAGGCGGGAAGATCATTTGAGGCCAGGAGTTCGAGACCAGCCTGGCCAACATAGTGAAACCTTGTCTCTATTAAAAATACAAAAATTAGCTGGGCATGGTGGTGCACGCCTGTAATCTCAGCTACTCAGGAGGCTGAGGCAGGAGAACTGCCTGAATCTGGGAGGTGGAGGTTGCAGTGAGCTGAGATTGCAACACTGCACTCCAGCCTGGGTGACAGAGTGAGACTTTGTCTCAAAAAAAAAAAAAGCCAGGTATGGTTTCATATGTCTGTAATCCCAGCTACTTGGGTGGCTGAGGCATGAGAAACGCTTGAACCCAGGAAGTGGAGGTTGCAGTGAGCTGGCTGAGATTGTGCCACTGCATTCCAACCTGGACGACAGAGTGAGACTCTGTCTCAAAAAAGAAAAAGAAAAATCACACTGATCATTTAATTTACATGTCTGATCAATAGTGAGGTTGAACATCTAGTCGTTGTATTTTCTCTCTTGTGAATTTTCTGCTTCTGTCCTTTGTTCATTATTTCATTATTGGGTTATCAGTATATTTCTTTATAGATTTGTATGAATTCTTGAGATATTAAGGGTATTGATCATAACCAATTTTTTTCTGCCTTTTTTTTTTAGATGGAGTCTCGTTTTGTTGCCCAGGCTGGAGTGTAGTGGCACGATCTTGGCTCACTGTAATCTCCGCCTCCTGGGTTCAAGCGATTCTCCTGCCTCAGCCTCCTGAGTAGCTGGGGTTATAGGCGCCTGCCACTATGCTCGGCTAGTTTTTGTATTTTTAGTAGAGACGGGGTTTCACCATGTTGGCCAGGCTGGTCTTGAACTCTTGAGCTCAGGTGATCTGCCTGCCTCGGCCTCCCAAAGTGCTGGGATTACAGGCGTGAGCCACCACACCTGGCCATAACCATTATTTTTTTCTTTAGTATGTATGTGAAATATTTTAAATCTAATATAAGATAATTATTCCATCAAAACACCAATCAAAACCTCATATCCCCTAATCTGTATAGGCAAGAAATAGGAAACATTACCTTAAGTGATGCAAGAGGATGTTCTGGTCCCAAGAGGCTCCAGTGAAAAGCAGCCAGGTCCTCATCTGGGAGGATGTGGTTACCTACAAAGTACATTTGTCATTTATTGACTGTACAAATGTTTTCTTAGAACCTCCAGGTCATGAAAGGGGTCCTGGGAGAGAAAATGATCAAATAATTCACATAGGTCTATATTCTTAATGTAATACTTACAGTAGCTCTGTGTTGATCACTTAATATGTTTCATGTGTATTATATGTATCATCTTTATAATGACTATGTATGGTAATATCATTTCCATTTTACAGATAAGGAAACTGAGGTTCAGATAAGTTTGGTGACTTGGCCCAATGTGGTCTGGCCAATAAGTACACACAACAAGATAAAAAGCTAGGAATGTAACTCCAAAGCCCATGCTATTACTTATCCCCTAAGTCATGTTGCCTTCTATAATAGCAGCCACCAATTAATAACTGCCTAATGAGTGCTGGGCATTTTGTATACCTTATTTCATTTCACTTTACCAATAACACCATGAGGTATTATGGTATTATTATCTGCATTTCACAGATGAGGAAACTGAAACCAGGGAGATGTCACTTCGGTGATTTGCCGATGGCCTAATTCCAAAACTTGTGCTGACTCTATTATATTATCCAAACTCATGTCCTTTGGAATTATAGAGCAAAGGTCATGCCTGAGACAGAATATTAACCTTCATGTGCTAAGTACTTGAATAACCAATTCAAAACATAATCAACTCTCTGCAATTTACTTTGAAACACATCTTTAAGAGATATATTGGGCCAGGTACAGTGTCTCACGCCTGTAATCCCAGCACTTTGGGAGGCTGAGGCAGGTGGATTGCTTGAGGTCAGGAGTTCAAGACCAGCCTGACCAATGTGGTGAAACCCTGTCTCTACTAAAAATATAAAAATTAGCTGGGCATGGTGGCGGGTGCCTGTAGTCCCAGCTATTCAGGAAGTTGAGGCAGGAGAATCTCTTAAACCTGGGAGGTGGAGACTGCAGTGAGCCGAGATCGTGCCACTGCACTCCAGCCTGGGCGACAGAGCGAGACTCTGTCTCAAAAATAAATAAATAAATAAAATAAAATAAGAGATAGATTGATGGATGGGTAAAGGAATGGATAGATATATGATAAGGCAATTATAGTAAAATGTTAATGGCAGAATACAGGTGGTGGATATAGAGTTTTTACTGCAAAGCCCTTTTTCAATTTTGCTGTGTATTTGGAAATTTTCATAAAAAATATTAGCATAAAAGAAACAAAGAGAAAGACATAATCAATAATTTGTTTTTCTGATCTAAATTGGGACACTAGGCAAGTAATGTTAATGCTCTGTGTGGGGAACCAAAGTTGTTTAGGGCTAATAAAACATTTGGCTGGAGAATACTCTGCATAAAAGAGTTATAAAATGTGGCAAAAGAAGAAGGTTTACAGGAATCTAAATAATGTTCTGGAATAACCTGTAGCAACCCACAAAACAAACATGCTGAGTTTTAGTGTGCTCTATCAAGAAGCCCAAAAACTATGCTGAGTTCTCCCCAGCAGTGTTTAGTGTGAAGACTTTAAGAAGACAAATCTAATGATGACAGGCTAAATCACTCTAGTCCTCATCTCTTAACACCAGAAGAGGAAACTACCAATCACTGCAGTCTTTTCTTTGGATGACCTACCTAGCAGTGCAGCAAATATGGGGAAATTCATCCTCTTCAGGCCCAGCTGCTTGGCTACTTCTTGCATCAGGAACTGGTTGGTAGTGAGGTTCTTCCCATTCCAGCTCAGTTTCAGAGCATGGGAACTGTAGTAAGAGGGAATATTGTAGAGAGCATACTCGGAGTCATGGGCAAGAAGGCCATGAAAGCCATTTTCCCTGAAAAACGCCACCACTTCCAAATGGTGGTCTTCAAGGCTCTGAAAGACCTAGGAGGGAAGAAGAGAACGTGTCATGCCACAGAAGCTGATTTGTATTGTTAGAAGGTCAGGAGGTTTAGTAACTAAATTTTATAGTTTGCTGAAATTTGAGATTGTATGTGACAGAACAGAACATTCTTTTAACATTTTTTACTTTTTTTTTTTTTTTTTTTTAAATACAGATATGAGATCTCACTATGCTACCCAGGCTGGTCTCGAATTCCTGAGCTTAAGTGATCCTCCTGCCTTGGCCTCCCAAAGTGCTAGGATTACAGGCGTGAGCCACTGCAACCAACCAGAACAGAATACTCTTAAAAAACAAAACAAAAATGCTCTCCCAGTCTACAACTTGATTATTACTGTAAACACAGACAGCGTTATACATGTGTTCATTCCCCCAGTTTTTTTTCACTCTTTTCATGAAACTTGCCCTGAGGCTCTTCAAAATTAGAATACTGAAATTAACAAGGTATATATTACTTAAGTTTTTACCTCAATCAGTAACATTAGAGACTTCTGTTAGATAATAAAGCTATTATTTATTGCTCAGCATCTATATGCTATACATATTTTATATATATTATCTCGTCATTAACCTTAGGTAGGTACATATGGATGAAAAACTTAAGACGTAGAAATATACATAGAAATCTAAGTTTATCTAACTGTTTTTAAAAAGTCCTTGCTTTTTTTTCTTAGTAGCACCCTACATCGCAGGGCACCTAAATAGTTGCACTTCCAACGGTGAGAAGTCAGAAACTTCACTCCATTTTAGAAATGGGGAAACTAAGGCTACGAGAGATTGACTGCCCCCAAAGTTGCAGAATGAGTGAGTGGTAGGCAGGATTCAAATCCAGGCTGATCTGACTCTGGAATGCATACTTTCTGTTGTACCGTGCTTCTTCCTGGAGATCATTATTTTTTATGTAATAGAGGTAAACTGTTAAGTACTCTTCCTGAACATGCCTCTATTGCTGTACTTGAAGTATACTGAAATTATCTGTATACCGGCTCCACCAGATTAAGTTCCTAGACCATATAGAGAATTTACCTCTGTATTCCTGGCTCCCACATAAGACCTGGTACATAGTAGTAATAATAATGGCTAACAGATACTGAATATGTACTATGTGCATTAATTCATTTAATACTTACAACAACCTTGTGAGGGCATACCTATTATTATTATCCCCATTTTATACATTATTAGCCCCAAGGTCATATGACGAGGAGGAGCAAAGCCCAGATTTTGGCTCTAGAGCCTGTGGACCTTGATGGTTTTTTTCAACTCAACTAATCTATTTTTCATTTAAGTTGGAATGGTAGTTTTCTGGAGTTTAACAGGAGTTTCAACGCATTAAACTTTTGCTAGATTATGGAAAAGGAGTCTAGTTACAGTTGCTAGTCATGTCACATACAAGGGGAGAGACACCAGTAAGCAGATAGTGAAGCAAGGTCGATATTCATTTGATATCCAGGCAAAGGAGCCAAAAAGTATTGTAACATATTTATGCCTAGAGATATGAGTAACTCCAGATGTGTCAGGGTAGGAGTAAAGTTTTATGCTGTCCCCTGGTAATAGTTTCTTCCAGCACACCACTCACACAAGTCATTGGTTGAGCATCCATTGACCTTGTACCAGGCACAGTTACTAAGTGTGATATTTTCTCTCTCATCATCACAACCACACCATGCAGGTATTAGAAGCCCCATTTTACAGATGAGGAAACTGAGGCTCAGAAAAGTAAGATGCCATACTCGGAGCTATCAAGTTGGGAAACAGCAACCTGGGTCACACTGACATCAAATTCTCTTGGTGTCACCAAAGACCCTTTCTACTACAACATTAATCTTTAGCTGGTCTGAAGCCCATTATGCCACCATTCAAGTGATTTCAACTCCAGAAAGCCAAGGACTAGTGATTTTTAATCAATTTGGTAGCTCTTAAAACACTAGGAATGTACATCACAACCACCTGGAGATCTTTTTCAAAATATACAAACCTGAGCTTCACCTCAGATCTGCTGGAATTATTTATTTCTTGTTTTTGTTTTTTTTTTTTTGGAAACAGAGTCTTACTCTGTCACCCAGACTGGAGTGCAGTGGCCTGATCTCGGCTCACTGCAACCTCCGTGTCCCGGGTTCAAGCAATTCTCCTGCCTCAGCCTCCTGAGTAGCTGGGACTACGGGTGCATGCCACCACACCCGGCTAATTTTTGTATTTTTAGTAGAGATGGGGTTTCACCATGTTGGCCAGGCTGGTCTCAAACTCCTGACCTCAGGTGATCCGCCGGCCTCGGCCTCCCAAAGTGCTGGGATTACAGGCGTGAGCCACTGTACCCAGCCTGGAACAATGTCTTGAGTGTGATCCAAACACCTATATTTCAAAACAGTTTTCAGTAGGTTCTCATGCACACCCCCAATTAAGAATCACTGAACTAATCCAATCATTCATTTTATCACATAGGCAACTGAGGCCTAGAGAGGATAAATGACTTGACCTAGCTAATTGCAGCTGAACCAAGATTAGAACAAATGTTTCATGATTCCAGGTATAGGACTTCTTTTACTAAATATTCTGGAGTAGGTAATGGAAAACAATAGAATAAGAATCTCATGAATCTCTCTCTCAATTCCGCAATACCCCTCTCCTAACAGGCTAATTTTCTAACTACCCACTTCCAAGACTACTCCTGCTTCCCTGCCTTTGCTCACTTGGTTTCCCTGCCTAGAATGCCTTATTGCCTCTCTTTCCCAATGTTCTGAATACTTTCCATAGGCCTGCCACCTCTTGGACAAATTATTTTTAATTCCCCTCCTCTTCACTCTTATAGCACAGAGATGGATGACACAGTCACAGAACTAATTTGACAATACCATCATCTTCAAGTTTTAAGGTCACAGGTTCTATCTTACTCTTTTATCTCCATGGTCCTAACCATGTCCTTCCAACTAGAAAGGACAGAGAACAGGAGTTAATTGGTACAGAATAGTAAAGAAAGGCCTAGTGAGATTGTTAAAAAGAAAAACAGCTCTGGCAAATCAGAGGGCACTATCATCTCAGCATTTAACTTCTACAGCAGATGTAGTGAAATCACTAGATTGCAAGCTATCCACAGCTCAAGTAGCAAAGTAGTATTAGGTATCAATTAAGTACCTACTATGTACTAGGCACTGTTCCAAACCCACCTCACGTCCACTAACCTTGCAATAACGTCAGGAGGCATTATTATCTTCATTTTAAAGACAAACGATCAATGAGGGTCAGAGGTTAGAGAACTTGACCAAAGTCACATAGCTAAAAAGTGAAGCTAGCCAATAAGCACGTGACAAACTGCTCAACATTATTAGTCATTACAGAAATGCCCATCAAAACCAAAATGAGACACCAGTTAGCACCCACTAGGATGGCTATAATCAAAAAATGGAAAATAATGAGTGTTGGCAAGGATGCAGAGAAACTGGAATCCTTGTAAATTGCTAGTGGGAATGAAAAATGGTGCAGTTACTTTGGAAAATGGTCTCAGAGATCCTGAAATGGTTAAACATAGTTATCACATTATCCAACGATTCCACTCCTAAGTATATACCCAAGATAACTGAAAAGCTATGTTCACACAAAAACTTGTACATGAAAGTTCACAGCAGGCTTATTCATAATAGCCCAAAAGTGGAGATAACCCAAATGTCTATCAACTGATGAATGGATAAACAAAATGTGGTATATACATAAAAGGAAATATTATTTGGCGATAAAAAGGAATGAAGTAGGGATTTATGCTACAACATCAATGAACTTTGAAAACAGAATGCTAACGTGAAACAAGCCAGACACAAAAAGTCATATATTGTATGACTTCTTTCATATGAGATGCCCAGAATAGGCAAATCCAAAGAGATGGAAGAATAAATTAGTAGTTGCCAGGGATTGTGGGGATGGGGAATAAGACTAGTACGTACTGGGTTACCCTTTGAGATTATAAAAATCTTCTGGATAGTGGTGATAGCTGCACAACACTATGAATATACTAAAGACCATTAAATTATACACTTCAAAACGTTGAATTTTATGGTATATGAGTTATACCTCGATTTTTAAAAAGTGGAGCTAGGATTCAAATTCAGTTCTGTTCACAAATCCCAAGCTCCCCTAAAGCTTTAAGAACTTTAAGAACTTTTTATTATGGAAAATTTTAAACATACAAAGGTAATGAACCCCCATGAAAGCATTACCCACTTTCAATTGTTATCAATGTTAAGTCATTCTTGTTTCATCTACCTTGCCCCTCTCCTTTTTATGGTGTGTGTGTGTGTATATATATATATTTTTTTGAGATAGAGTCTTGCTTTGTTGCCCAGGCTGGAGTGCAGTGGCATGATCTCAGCTCACCGCAACCTTTGCCTCCCAGGTTTAAGTGATCCTCCTGCCTTAGCCCCACTAGTAGCTGGATTACAGGCACATGCCACCACACCTGGCTTATTTTTGTATTTTTAGTAGAGACAGGGTTTCACCATGTTGGCCAGGCTGGTCTCGAACTCCTGGCCTCAGGTGATCCACCCTCCTCAGCCTCCCAAAGTGCTGGGATTATAAGTGTGAGCCACCACGCCTGGCCTTTCTATGGTATTTTAATATTTTTTGTTGGGATTAAAAACCACATAAAATTTACCATCTTGACTATTTTTAAGCGTACAGTTCAGCTGTGTTATGGATTTTCACATTGTTATATAACGTATCTCCAGAATATTTTCATCTTGCAAATCTGAAATTCTATACCCATTAAATAACAGCTCCCTTTTCTCCCTCCTCCTAGCTCTTGGTAACCACAATTCTATTTTCTGTTTCTATAAATTTGACTACTTTAGACACCTCACATAAGTGGAATCATATGGAATTTGTCCTTTTGTGACTGGCTTATTTCACTTAGCATAATGTTCTCAAGTGTTCATCCATATTGTAGCATGTAACAGGATTTCTTTCCTTTTTAAGGCTGAATAATATTCTATTGTAT